CCACTTCTTTTCTGATTTTCCCATGAAAGGAAGGGCTGTGGTCTGTATGTGTATAGCTGAGAAAGACTGATTGGATGCAGATGGAAGTCTAATTGATTTTACAAAGAGGCACCTCACAGCTACCAGTTCGGTAGCAGGAATGTGCATATATGCACAGAAGATCGTGATGACGTCTGGGTGGATGGGCGGAGCCTTGCGCTGCCACCACTACCATTTCACCCGAACTGGTGCGAACCAGCAGAATACCACCTCTGGCACTTGAGCTTGTTTGGAAGTTCTACAGGGGAGCACAGCTATCATATACCCTTGACTGAAGATTGGTACACTCTTTCTATCTGGGATGGTCGTCCTCTTCCACCGAGCGCGCAGCTTCGGTAGGGACACACATGGAGCAGTGAGGGAGGAAGGGGACACCCGCCTAGCCAGTCAGATCAGCCGAATCAACCCTGGCGATCAATGGGGTGACAGATGTCTCAGCCAGATCGCCCTCACATCCATCCTCTGGCACTTTAGTTTATGGACAATGAATTTTGATAGTTTCAGTCAATTGTTATAATTTTCAATTCTTGGCCCTCTTTTGGGCAGGAGGCACAATTTGATTGCTTATTTATGTTACTGGTTCAATTTTTAAGCAACACAGAATGTCCAAAATAAATTAATCCCAATAGTTAAAATCAAATCTGCATACAGACAGACACACACAAACACACATACAGATAAAAATCCTATACTATGCCCACTTCTCCATCTTATCAATCTGGCATTGCCAACTTTAACTGAAGTTGAATCTTTTGAAATTGAGAAGTAGAATTTGAGCCTCTTTGGTCAACTAGTTTTGACACCAGGCTAGAAACCAGGAGGCTGGGAGTTTGAGTCCGATCTTAAGCATGAAAGTCATCTGGGTGACTTTGGGTCCATCTTCTCAGTCTAACCCACCTCACAAGGTGGTTATTGTAGGGAAAATAAAATAGCATTAGCACTTAAGAGCCACAGTGGCACATAGTGGTGCAGTGGTTAGAGTGCAGTACTTCAGGCTACTTCTGCTAACTGCCAGTTGCCTGCAATTTGGCAATTCAAATCTCACCAGGCTCAAGGTTGACTCATCCTTCCGTCCTTCCGAGGTGGGTAAAATGAGGATTCAGATTGTTGGGGGCAATAGGCTGACTCTGTAAACCGCTTAGAAAGGATGTAAAGTGGTATATAAGTATGAATGCTATTGCTATCGCACAAGATTTTAATGTGTGTGTGTGTGTGTGTGTCAGAGAGAGAGTGAGTGCACATGTGCAGGTATGTGTGTCTAAAGATATGCATTCTGCTGCTTTGAGTTTTGTGAGGGCTTGGTTTAAATTAAGAGATACCTTCCTTTCACAGTAATAGAACATTTGGGACATCATTATTCTGAGTTACTAGCAAAGAAAATGAGGGACCCCTTCCTTCTCCCCTCCCCTCTCCCACCTGCTAAGGCTTCTATTATATTTTGCAACACAGAACAGGCTAAAGCTTCTCCATTCCTTCCTTTCCTTTCTTTTCCCTTCCCAGTAGCCATGCTGCAGGCTGACAGTGCCACCCTATCCACCAGCATCTTGAAATCGTGCTCATTTTCTACCCTTTGAAGCCCACTCCTCTATTAAAAATGCATCTACTCTGTTAATATTTCAGATTGATTTCCCCAGACATCCAGAAGTGAGACATGTAGGGACGGGCGCGGGTGAGCTGCTGACGGTTTGGACAGAGATCTAAAAACAGCCCCTTAATGCTCTTGCTTGGCGATCCCCATTAATGACATCTCAAGCCGCTTCTTTTCATGTGCAGCTGCACTGCTGCACACACACAGATATCCTCTCACATTATTAATTTCCGCTGCACGCCCACCTTTTATTTGTTCACCCACCTGCTTGTTGCCAGATGACAAGAAGCTCTTTGGGAGCCTGGGGAATAATTAGAGTTTATTACATGTCATTACAAGGCTTAGCATCGACAAGGGCTGGCCTAATTGAGTTCTCCAAGCACCAGCATAAAATGGAAAGGCCTTGACCATAAGATCAGAAGCAGGAAGAGCTTCATAAGAGCAGCTTCAAAGTGTGGATTCTGTGGTAGCTTTTTGGCTAGATTTGGGCAAGAATTACCTTTAATGAAATGGGATAGTGCCTCATTAATGGATTTATTATATCTCTTTATATTAAACAGCCGATTAGTTTATTTATTAGGTGTGTGTGTATGTGGATACACACACATACATTCCCACCTTATTCAAAGAGACATAAACTATCGCATCTACTAAATACTTGCAGCCATTCTGTTAATTAGGTTAAGCCAAGAATCACCCACTTGCGTAAGGAGGCTGTGAACATGTATCCCTTCACGGTTATACTTCTCAGTGCTATTGATTGTATGAAGACTGAGTAAGAACAAAAGGCAATATGGAGATGTATTCTATAATGACCTGTTTAAAATGGAAGAAGCATTTTAGTTTAAGAGATTCCAACCACAGCTGTAAAGTATCGGGCCCCAGAGGAAATTAAAAAGCTACCAACAGCAAATTCCATCCATAGAGCTTTAGAACATCATGCTATAAAACTGTGTCCAAACCATTGTGCTTTAAATACATATTTCCATTTTATAAGTATTTATTAAAAGTGCAAAAGGCAGCTGGGAGAAGGCTCATACTTGTGATCAATTGAGAGTTTTGCTCCTAGTGGGGGGGAAAGGCCCTCTATTTCTAAAAATGTGCCATGCCATGTCTACACCAGTTTTGCAATCATAGTTTTCATATATTTTGTTCACCTCTATATGCATAGGTTTTGTAGATGGATTTTGAAGAATCTGCTAGATATCTGGGCATAACTTCCAAATCTGAATATTGTCTGCTGACTGTCATTCTTGAACAGAACTATTAAAAGTGCAGATGTTCTGTTCACCCCAGGGGTGGAATTTAATTTTTTTTTACTTCTGGTTATGTGGGTGTGGTGTGGCTTAGTGGGTATAGCTTAGTGGACATGGCAGGGGAAGGATATTGCAAAATCCCCATTCCCTCCCCACTTCTGGGGGGAAGGATACTGTAAAATCTTCATTATCTTCCCACCCCACTCCAGGGCAAGGATACTGTAAAATCTCCATTCCCTCTCCACCCTACTAACTTGCTTTCCAGCTCCGTTCTGCAGGGCAACAGAAGAAGACTGTCAGCCTCTGCTTCGCTGCTGCTTTTCAGCTGCCATTGAAACGGGGAGCGGGGGCATGGTATTTGGGAAGGGAATCATTTACTGTTTAATTAGGGAGTTATTCTCACCATCTCTTTGCGCATGCGGAAGGAAGGGAGTTTCCCGCCAAGGCCAACT